ATATACAATGTATGACAGAAGTTTTCATAGCGATGCGTAATAACTGTATCTTCTTTGAGTCTCTTCGCTTATTCATTTAATTTATGGACGTATCAAAAGAGTTTCGCTTAAACGTCATAGCCTTATAAGTAAGAAAATATTTTGTGTGATTACAGTTAGACTCTCTACTCTTTTGCGTTTGTAGAGTTTACTCCACATAAGATTTTATTCGCTGCCACAAATACGACAAAGCTAGTTCGCTAAGAAGAAGTTAAGATTCTTGCATTCCGTCGGATAGACTTGAATATATATCAACTTATTAATAAAATAAATAATTAAAATAATTGTAAAATAAAGTTAAAAATTTGAGTAAAATATGCAAATGAATAAATATATTTAATTAGATATGAATAGAAAATTATATGCCTTTTTACATTTTGTTTTTGTTGGCATTGAATTCAACTTTATTTTTTATTTATTTATTTATTTTTTTTTTTTTCACTAAAATGTATTTTATTTACAATTTACTATCAACGGAATGACTAATCGTGTAGATCGTAAGCTGGTTAATTGAAAAGCGAGAGTTTCCTTAGCGTATTACTATAAAAACTGAGTGGAGAGCACACAATACATCTTATCTTAAATTTTATTTTGATCCGATAACGAAAGAAATATTCTCAATCAAAAGGAAAATTTTTCATTGACATTTTATAATAATACTTATTATATGAGTTTTGCGTTTAAGTAACACTTTTACATACGCATATTTAATTGTCAGCCTTGTCACATCTTTATTGCATTGAAATCGAGCAATCAATTAATTTCATTTATTTTTTATTTAGTTAAAAATGCTTGAACTTAAATTTTTTTAGGAAAGCGTATGAAGGAATCAATAACCGGCACTAATTAAACAAACACACTTGAGAGCTATACACTCCGAAAAAAAGATGAAAAAAAAAAGAAGGCAGATAAAACATCTCGTCGATCATTAATGAAGATAACCTACACTTATCGTTCCGCTCGTAACTTAGACAACACATGTCTTTAAGTAACGTAAAGCATTAAAACTGATTGTTTATATACAAAGTCGTTACAGCGAACATTGATTTTTCCCCCCCGATGTCTGAAAAACTGAAGGAAACGAATTTTTCACTCATATCAACGGTTCGGCACGTTAGAGAAGTAGAAGGGACCTCAAAATTCTCGAATAACTCTTTAGACAATTTTAATTTTAATTGACTAACGCGTACCCCAAGCGTGTGTACACCTTTTCACAAATTTATGTTTCGCGTACACGCTTTGTTGTTAAACGAGCGTTAACTATTTAAATATTATTTTGTAAACATTTTATTATTTTAACCGCAATTAGTGTTAATGAATTTCAAGGCGTAGTAGAGGTTTTACTTGTTAGATAACAAAAAAAAAAAAAAAAAATAAAGTCCCAACTAATAGTAGGTCACTTAGAGTATATGCTAGAAGAATATTACTATTTATTGCTAAGGAATCGGCCCTTGCGTGCCGTTTTGCAAAAAAAAAAAAAAAAACTCGCTTTTGACTTTTCATTCTTGTATTTGGATATATATTGTCTTTTCGCCAAACTCGATTGATATGATCATTGTCGGGATAAGCTGCATTTCCCAACTATTCCAATCCATGGTCGACTTAGCTATCCAAGCCCTCTTTATAGGCATTTTCTCTTCTACTAATTTCATTCCTTGTAGCATCAATTGACTTAAAATATGAGCTCTGGTAAAAGCAAATCAGCAAGTGGAGCCGTATAAAGAACACACAAGTGTTCGGTCATGTTAGCCAAGTTCTTGAGCGTTCGGCTACATTAGCTAATTCCCCAATGGCGGGTTTCACTTAAATCGGAAGTAGATTTCATGACTTGATTTATTCCTTTAATTTATAAGAGTGTCTGAAACCCATATTGGGCACCCTTGGATAATGAATGTTATAATGTATTCAGAGTTCAACGTAAAGGCCTGCATTGAGAAAGTTTAGTGGCTTGGTGCACACTCTTTATATTGCGATTTTGTTATTACACGAATAGGAGACATTTGGAGTAGTCGCGTTACATTTAAAAAAAAAAAAAAAAAAACATTTTAAAAGTTTTTCTCAAATCGGACGAATAGATCCTATACTGCCAAAACAATCACTATAACATATGAATATACTAAGCTATTCTTTTCAAGCTTTTAGCTATCGTTAACGTTTTCTTCATAAGATCAATGACATTAAAACCCAGGTTTGTCTTTGATATTCAATGTGAATGCTTAGCTCTCTCTCTCATATCAATTTTAAATAGAAATGCACAATCGCGATATGTCTACTTGCATCTTTCCGTCAACAATGGCTTACAAGAAAGTTCTAAGAGCAACTGCACAGAGTTATTTCATTAAGAGCACGAATATATAAGCACGAAAGATAAGTTTCAAATGGGATTTATTAGGAAAGATGCATCTTCCCGTTTATTTTTTGACAGTAACAGAATTGCTAATTAGGTAGCTATTTCGGTTTTTGTTTACTATCAAGTATGAAATGTTGTTTGGCGAACTAATTAAATGTTCTCGATTCGTATCATTACTTGCCGGTTTCGCTCTATTTACTTTAGACCGTGAGTGAGTGTTTCAAGGGTAACGTCGCTTCATCCCGTTCTGTTTTTCTGATATTTATGTTTTCACATGTACTTGGAGTATAAAAATCTTTTGTCAATAATTATACATATATACACGACGCAACAGCGATTACTAAAGCTCAAGTTCTTGAAAAGAAGAATAAAAATATTTCTTTTTTTTTTTTTACAGAAAGTAATAACAAATCAATAATAACTTATTATCAATTTTTTGTAAGTGGTATTTTAATTTTATTATAAACCAGTTAACGACCGGTTGACTGATGTGTAAAGTTAAGTTAAAACATGTTCAGTGGTTACCCGTACCCCCTCTCGTATCTTCGAGGAATTATTGATGGGTTAATTTTTAAGATATCAATAAAAATTTACATAAAATTTACCTTTTATTTGTTGTCATTGTTTGGCAATAAAAGATTTTTTCTTTTTTTTTTTTTTTATTAATAAATATAATGTTTAATTTAAATACAATTTTCCTTAAGTTTTTCACAATCACTTGTTAAAATTAATAGAATTGTCAAAGAAATACTTTGAATTTCTGTACAACAGTTTTTATTTTTCATAAAATCTTTTATTAACTAATATTTTTTGAACACATTTCTTTAGGCCTTTTATGTTCTTACATTATTTACTTTTATTCAAAAAAAAAAAAAAAAAAAAAAAATCAAAAACACGTAGTAAAGACTCTATGTACACTAAATTTTGATGCCTAAATTTTCCGTTCTACTGCACATGACTTAGAGTTTTGGTTTCAACTGTCCATTTAACTGTAAGTAAATGGCTATTTAAAGGCTTTTCAGTCTCTCGCTGTTTGCAGTTTTATGCTTTTTTCCCATCTCCATATTTTCTATTCTTTTTTGCTCTTATGTGCAAAACTCAAGAGAACCGATGAAAAATGCTCTTTAATGATCGCTTCAAATAAATCAAAAACAATTAAACCAGTAACAGCTTTGATGTCTGTAAAAATCCTCTCTGTCTCCCTAATTATCGAGTTATTGGTTTGATTATATTTCGTGCTACTCATAAAAGCCGCTTGAAAAGATTGGAGATTGTACAGATGGTCCCACGTGCCATTGCTGAGCTAGCTAGTTCGGGAGATATGGGAGATTTAATATCTTTGTCTCACGGACACTTCACAGACGGTTATACCTAAAAAAAAAAATACACGTACTTTACCTATATAGGTTTAAAAGGACGAACGAAGGGGCAGCTCATATGCCTTGGGCTATTCGGCACCCTACTCTACCTATGGTCCCCCTCGGCCCACGATTTGCAATGGGAGTCTAACGAAGTTGAGTGAGATGACCATCTGGCCTGTTTTCTTCTCATATGGCAAAAAAAAAAAAAAAAAAAAAACTTAAGTGCATATATTTTTTAGTTCATACCGTTAATCAATTTCGTTCATATATCTATATTAACTAAAAGGGAACACAATAAATGATTTGTAAGTACATGTGTACGGTTATATGAATTATGCTATGTACATAAAATATAAACGATGACGTAAATTCTTAGCATGACGTAAATTCTCAGCACTTAACAAATTTATGAAAAGCAAAATACATCTTATTATTATCATGACCGATTGCTATTGCCAGTCCTATACAAATATATGCGTAATAGGTGAATTTGTTAAAAATTATTTCATTTAGGAAAGCTTGTTGTTGTTAACTCCATAGAAGAATTTTCTTAATATTTAGTTGACTTTGCTTTTCTGAATGAAAATTTCCGAAAAAAAAACTCCTTTTTCATCTTTTTATATAAGCATTCAACACACATTTTTACACATCTATCATCTAGTATTTTAACTGTTCCACGTTATCCATGTGAAAGTAAAAATAGTTACCTCCCGTTGTACAATAGATTTCCCGCTCTTTTTTTATTTATTGCTACGCAATCCACTGAAATGAATGATAAATCCATTAAAGGATTTTTTTTATATAAGCACGTAATAAAGTTAAACAAAAATTAAAAACAGATACCAACAATTTTTAAACTTTTAGAAAATATTCACATCAGCCGCAGTTGTACTTAAATTCTCAATGCGTTTTTCTTCAATTTTTTCCCTGCATCTCTTCCTGCTGAACAATTCCTTTTTGCGCTCATTCTTTTTTTTTTCTCTTCACAAATGGCATCACAGCGTCAATCATCGCTTCACGCGCGAGATTAGCAACCCCATCTTTTGCAGAGTTGTATTTGTAACAATTATCACAAAAATACAAAATCGATGCTACAAACCGTACCTACGAATTTAGTGCAGGTTTACTGAAATTTCAAAATAACTTTGTTAAGTGATTCCAATACATATAAAATTCTCCTGGGGGATCTGACTGTACATCTAAACACGCAAGATAAGTGTAAATGCAAGTTCAACTTAGACAGCATAGGATTTACACGGTATCTCTTTTACTCTTATTAGCTCAGAAATGTTCCTCGAAGAATGTTTGGTGAGGTTAAGCTCCAAGGATAGCTAAATCGAAGCCTTGACCCATTGACCCATACACATGTCACACGAAACTGACGATTTCCTTGTTACAATTCTTGAAGGGTCATCTTTTTTTATGACCAGCCACTCAAGAGATTTCTCCTATACGACGCAGTGGGGATCTGCAACCAGTGTAGATGACCGTAAAGGAAAGAGGCGAGTAATACCTGCATATATTCGATTTGAAAGTCAAAGTCTCCAGTGGAATATGTGGGATTTTTTAAATATAGTTCGCAGTTTTTGAGATACTTTGATGAAATTTGATACACCGATATGTTCTAACTCAAGGGTAATAGCTACTGAAAATCATTCGGATGGAACCACTTTTTCCATTATTTCTCATATAAAAATTTATTTTGGAAAGTCTTTCTATGAATAGGCGAGCGTAGGGTAATGGTGGGCCACGGCCCTCTTTTACTTTAATCATAATGGTCCATGATAAATTTGAAATACGCTCTATTTTATTTTGGGTTTCTTATTTTATTTGGCCAAAAAATTTGAAAAAAATTCCTTCACCTTCGGTTCAGATTTGTTCTCGTTTTTAACAACATTTTTATTTTTAACGGATTAAAGTAATTTTAAACACATTACTATCCTTCACATATGTTATATGTGCTTAAGTCGCAATCTTTCGCTCAAGGCTATATCCATATATCTGTCTATATAATAATCACCAGCGGTTGCAATTGTAAAACATTCCACTCAGCTTAACAGCAAGTTCGAATTGGTAATCGGTTTTAGTTAAAAACAAGTAAGAGAGTTATATTCGACGGAAGCTGAATCACGCCTATCCACGACAATACTTTTCGCATTCTACTCTTCAAATTCTTTTGTTTGATACCCATATCGCTGGCATTATTAAGTAAAAATTAATCGCGGTGTCTACCATATTCATTTTAGAGTTAATCCATTTCCAGGCCGATAATATATTTTCGTGTGACGAGTGCACAAAATAGTTTTAAGCATTCTGTCTAGTTTGCCTTATGATAAAGAAACATGAAACCTCAAAAAAGTAAAAAAAAAAAAAAATTTAATCATTTGTAACTTTGTGTGGGCATGGCTGATTTATACCATTTATGGACCGACCTAAAATGTAGAGTGTTCGGTAACATAAATATGGAAAATTGTAGCCTTCTAATTTAAACAATTTCCGAGTAACAAGCAAAAAACCAAAAGGTTATGTTAAAAAAACTGAGTTGCATTCAGTTTACACTCTACTGCGCGCTTCTGCTCTGACCAATTTGGAAACTTGCTTAATATTTGCGACATATAGACGGGCTGACATGCCCAAGTGAACTCAGAATTTCATGCTGATCAAGAATATGTATACTTTATAGCGTCTCTGAAGCTTCCTTTTGTGTGCTATATATATTACGAAAGACACAACATCTTACACTGGTGGGTATAAAAAGAAATCATATTTGATGTTATCAAAAATTAAAAAAGATATTTATTATTACTATTTAGCGTATAGTGTATGTATACGACTGGTGAAGAGTACAATATGCAAAGTGTGTTATAAAAACGTTAACGCCTTTGGCGGTAAGGAGAAAGAGATTTAATTATGAAATTAGATTGTTTTGATGTACTTCAGCAGTTTTCAAATCTGGGGTTATGCAGTATCCCTGAAAATTGATATAACTCGATCTAGACATTGCATACTTTCAGTATTTGTACTGTAACAGTGCACGAGAGTTTGTAGCAATAGCTTAGTTTTTTTGGTATTATGATCGTAATTAAGAGCTTAATTTGTTTTACATGTGCTTGCTTCCCTCCGTAATTTACCAACGATATTTTCAGCAAAGGCGTAACCCATAATACGTGGGCTATCGTCACTTCGGTGAAATATTTTTTGTGTGAATTTCCGAAACGTTCAACCAATGTTTATGAGCAATTCACAAGCTTTTGAAAGGCTTTCACTAACATAACATAAAGCTAAAAACAGAGTATGTTAACTAAAAGTAAATAAGTAAAGAATTTTTAAAAGTTTTCCATTAAAAAAATTCATTAATAAGAGAGAGACAATAATAAAAAGAAATGAATGAATGTCTGGTTCAAAAAAAAAAAAACCAAAAAAAATATAGAGAGAATTGAACAATTATATGTTTTATCAGCTTTTTGCGTTTCTCACTGTCTTGCACGCAAGCAGCAAACAGGAGTATGGAAAAAGCTCACATAATTCTCAAAGCTTTTCATTCATAACCTTGCAAAAAGAAATTCATCATGAAATGAGAAAGAAAACCTCTAACCGTAATATACGTAGAAATAAATAAATTATACAAATAAGAAATGCGCCATAAAAGTATGCATAATGTAAATATTATAAATTAAAAAAATTTTCCAAAACAAAAGAAATCGTCAAAGTTTTTGAAGTAAAGTTAAAGGCGAAAAGTTGCTACAGTAAATAGAAGTGGACTTGAAAGTAAAGTGATGTTAAGGCCAAAATCTCCACAAAGCAAATACAAGCGAAACATTAAGGATTATATAGTATATAGTTCTAATATGAGCAGACATAACTACAGACATAAAGTAACTAAAGCATGTTAAGCTGCTGTGTAGAAAACGAACGAAAAACGAAGTTATTGTTTTTCTGTTTCAATTATTTATTCATCCTGTTAATAGCTGAAATACATTTTTGATCTTACTTTCTTATACCCGTTGCCTACGAATGTTTTCGCATACTATTCGATTGCTAATGCTCAGAAATATGCGTAAATACTGTACGTTAATCATGTGAAATTTCGGACCAATTTAATGATATCTCAGGAAAGGTTCGCATTACTGCGCATGTGCACATGTTGTTAGTCAAGAAACCTGGACTAGCTGTGAAAATGCTCTGAACAGGCAAAGCAAAGCAGGCAAGCAATCTATAGACAAATTTGGTTAAAATTTCTATATATGTTTATAAAATAAATAAAAAATAATAAAGAATAA